GGAATTTCACTTTGTCTTGACCCTTTCTGGGGTCATCTTCTTCCTGAGGTCCTGTGACCATGCTCTGCTGCCTACTGAACCTGGGTTGAGAGCTCTGCTGTCCATGCCATGGCCTGCTGCTGTTGCTGAAACCTCATGGTGCAGGGTATATCTCTCCTAGATGATGGCTCTGTCCTCCCTTCTGTGACAGTATTAATGTAGAGGGATCAGTGTTTTCAGAAATTAATGCCTTCATGTGAGTTTTCAGAGGTGCAAAATAAGATTTTTTTAACTTAGTGATAAAGGTTGGGTAAAATTTTTGTTTTCAAAACAAGTAATGATATTGGTCTCTATATAATTACTTCTAGTTAATTTTTATGCTAAGTCAAAATAAATGTCAGGAGTTTTAGATAAATACTTTTATGATGTAGAAACTTTACAAGTTTAGATCATTTAATATTTTCAAGAAAACTAAATCTGAGTCGGGCATGGTGGTGCACACCTATACTCCCAGCACTCCAGAGGATGAGGCAGGAGGATTGCTGTAGCCTGGGCTACAAAGTGAGTTCAAGGCCAGTTTGAACCACACAGCAAAACCTTCCCTCAAAAAAGACCAAAACAAAAACAGAACAGAGCACCTTAAATCTGGATGAGATAGATGTGATGTAAGATACTGTTTTACTGTCATCTTTTTGAGAAATGACTTTGTTTTTCTTCAGAGATTAGAGTTTCAAATGGCTCCCTGGAAACTTTAGAACTGGTGCTATAAGTTAGGAGATGGTAACAAGCTTTGTTCAGTAAGATATCTGCAGACTCCCTGCACATGCACAGGAAAATGTGAATTCCTTTGGGGATCTGGACTGTTGATCACAAAGGCTCCGCCCTTGGGAGAAACACCTGCCTCTGGGTCTGTGCAGGAGGAGGGGGTGTACCCCAGTGCATGTTGTTCCTTTAATTTCTTACTTGGGAATATGAGTCTTCAAAAGCAATTTAAAACACTTGAAATGTGTATCAATTATGAATAATTATATTATTTTTAAATTTTTGTTTTTTTTTAAACTTTTTACAAAGAGCAGACACTATTTTTGCCATAAGAATAAGTATGAAAATACTATAAAAATCATGCAAGATTTTAAATGGGAAATGTCAAAGAGAAGACAGAGCTGGCAGACTAATACCTGTGGCCCAGACCTGGCCTGTGACTTGTCTTTGCACAGCTCAGAACAGTTCTGTATTTTCAAATAGTGAAAGACTATAGAATATGAAATTCTCATTTCTTGAGTGGCCGATTGGCTCATGAGCATGGATGGTCAGTGGCTGCACTGTGCATCTCTGTGGGGAGACTGAGTTGCAAATACTGTCTGTACTACAGAACAAGCATGTGGACCCTGGTACACAGTGCGTGTCCTCGTGCTTCCAGCCTCAGTCAGCTCCTGCCCAGTCTTGTTTGAATTATGCTGAAGTAAATCTCAGACATCCATAATTTCATCCTATGTTGTTTAAATTAAAAACACTGAAAATTCATCAAGTAGATACAAACAGACATGTGTTAGGCTTCTAGAGCTTTTGATTGATTCATGCATGGCCCAATGCTGGGATTATAGGTGTGAGTGCTACACTTGCTCCAAAGCAGGCAGCCTGCATACAGTATAAAGGAGAGAAAGAGGCTTGCTTTTGTGCTCCTTTTTTTGGTCTTGCTGCTTTTGCTGTCGTCCACTGCCATTAACTGTTGCCCTCTGTCATGTGCCACTCTGCCATGGAGTCAGTCGAGTACGGACTGAAATCTCCACAAACTGTGAAATAGTAAATAAACCCATCCTTCTCTAATTTTGGGCATCAGGTATTTTATCTCAGCAACAAGAGAAAAGTAACCAACGCAGCGTGGCTTAATGCAAAAGTCCTAAGACAATCTCAGTACTGAAATAAGCAAGCAGGAGGGAACACTTTCCAAGCTTATCCAGTAAGGCTGTTTGTACTCTGTCAAAATCAAAGACATCACAAGAGAATGATTTGACAGACCAGCATAAGCAAGCAACACTCAATCCAGGAACGCACAGCTGTATGTTCAATCAACATAGTAATCAATATAGTAATACTACACTTGAACTTGAAAGGACAAAAGCCTTCTCAGCAAAGGCAGAAAAAGCGTTTGACAAAATCCATAGCCCTTCATGATTAAAACAAACTAGCAACTGGAGGAAACTTCCTGAGCTCAGTGAGTAGTATTTATGAAAAACCTACCACTGAGGTCATACTTGGTGGAAAAGGCTAAGAACATTTTATTAAGATCAAGAAAATAAGGAGCCAGTTCTTGCTGTCTATTCCAACACTGTGCAGGAGACTAGCCAGCAAAGTCAGCATGAAAATGAATTAGAGATGGGCATGGTGGCACACATCTGTAATCCCAGCACTTGGGAGGCTGAGGCAGGAGGATTATCTTGAATATGAAGCCAGCCTGGGCTACATGCTGAATTCAAAGCAAGCCCAAAATACATAGGGAGACTCTGTCTCAAAAATCCAAAAGCAAACAGAAAACAAAGGGAACAAAGGGCGAAAAAAAGCAGAAAGCATCTAGACAGAGAGGAGGAAGTAAAACCATGTATATATGTAATGAACTGATTTTGTACATAGCAAATCCTAAGGATTCTACAAGTATTTCAGTGAGGTTGCAGGATATAAGATCAAAATACTCTAAGCTTATATGACAGACTCTAAAAGCCTTTTAGGCAAAAATTATGCATAGTCAGGCCCTTACACATCATTGTGAAGCAGCCCAGTTTCTGTATAAGGCCGTAATAGTCTGTGTACACTGAAGGCAGACAGCATGTTGTCACGAAACTTACGCTGACCTCCCTGGTCAGGTCTTTTCTTGCTCACACATGTTCACAGATCAGGTATGAAATTACTATGCCTGAATCTCAAAACTGACAAAGGGAAGTTACAATTGGCTGTTGATACTGGCTTTATGGGCAGCTGTTAAGTGTGGCTCTCCAGAGCCAGTGCAGTAGCGAGTGGGCCCATCTGGCCCTGGGGTCTTGGGGTCCTGAATCTCACTTCGCTGCAGATTCGAGTCACAGTTGAATCTATCCAATAAGGATGAACTTTCTTTTTGGAGGCCCTGCAACAGAAACTGTGTTCACATGTATCCTTCAAATGTATCTGTGACCATGACAACTCCAGGCCCATCTCTGCTGACACTTCAGCCTCCTGCTGGTGACTCACATAAACTGTCCCCTACTCTGCATCCTGGGCTCTCCTGTGCAGCTGCACCAACATGCACTGCAGATAGTGGGCAGCCCCCCACCATGAGTACACAGAGGGAGCTGCTAGATCCGCTCTGCACTCTCAGTGTGGTTACTTTTTTTTGAAAGATTCTTGTATTAGAAAAATGTGGTAATTATCTTTCTGAGTCTGGCTTATTTTGCTTAACAGGCCAGGCTCTGGTTCCATCATTTCCCTGCAAGTGACATAATTTCATTCTTCACAGCTGAATAATATTCCATTCTGTATAAATACACCATATTTTATTCATCTGTTCATCCATTGATGGGCACCTAGGCTGGCTCCATGCCTCAGCTTTTGTGAATTATTTTGCAATAAAAACAGGTATGCAGGTATCCCCACACCATGCTGATTTTAATTTCTTCAGGGACATACCAATAAGTGCTATAGCTAGGTCATTTGGTAGCCCTATTTTTATTTTTCAAAAGGGCTTTCATACTGATTTCCATAGTGGCTATTCTAATTTACATTTCCACAAGCATCACAGAAGTACTTTCTCCCTGCATCCTTGCCAGCATGAATTGTTTTTTGTATTCTTGATTACAGTCATGAGATGAAATCTTAATGTACCTTTCATTTGCATTTCCCTGATAGATAAAGGCATTGAGTGTGGCTACTATTACTGGAGGAGTTACTCAGTTTACACAAGTTAAATGCAGATATGCATGATTCCATAGCACAAAAAAGCATCACAACAGCTAAAAAGTTATAACCCACTGGTGGAAAGAACTGGAACTTGAAGAGGTTAATATTCTTTTAAGAAGAACTTAATATGAAAGAGACAACATTCCAAAAGAGAATAAGCAAAGAACATACAGAAAACACAAGTGGCCAAGAAATACAGATGAAATGTCCCACCTTAAGTAAGTACATAGGGGAAACGCCCCATCTTACAGTAAACCAATCATACATCCAGGGCTTCAGTTGTTATAACAGCACCAACAGAGCACCCATGTTGCACAAAAAATGGACATTCAATAGTCTCCTTTTCAGAAAGGCTGCCAATCTGGAAATATGCTGAAAGCTGTAAGAGATGTAATCTGTAACCACAGTGCCACAAGAGTGGGTGTGCAATGGTGCTTCTAGATCACCAAGGTTCATAACGTTATCAGATGCAGCTACACTATCCTGTGAGCTGCAGTCAGTGAAAACTGTGTTTCCAAGTCACATGTAAGATGCAGGTGGATGATCCTGGTTATAAAATGGCAGACAAGTTGTTTATGGTTTTTGAAGAACTTACTCCAGGGTTCACAAAGAGGCTTTTGTGCCTGTGCTGCACCTGAGGGGTGTTGTAATTCTTAAGTCATTTGTGTCTGTTCAGTACAAAAGGTGGGGATGAAAACCCAGAATCTTTTTGATTCACATTGACAACTTGGCAGACTTAGAAATTTTAAAGGGGCTGGGGATTTAGTTCAGTGGCGTAGCACCTGCCTAGTAAGTATGAGGTCCAGAGTTCGATTCCTGGTATTCCTCCCACAAAAAAAACTTTGCTTTAGGGTTGGGGATATAGCTCAGCAGTGTGGCACATGCCTCGCAAGAGTGAGGTCCTGAGTTTGATTCCCAGGTCCAAAAAAGCTTTTTTTGTTCATTGTTTAGAATAAAAGTTCTAAACAATTTTTTAGGAAACACAACCCATTCAAAGATGAAGTACACCATGACATATTTACACTACAAATGCAGAAGGGCAGTATCTTATATTTTAGCAAGTACAAGTTATCTTTGCATGGCAGAATTATAGATGAGTTTAATTTGTTTGTATACTTTATTTTCAAGGTTTAAAGTAGACATGCATTATTTAAAAAATACAGTCTTTTGAAAGTCTAAATGACATAAAAAATCACTAACACCACTTTTCTCAGTAAGATGCAAAACAGATGAAATGGAATAACAAATAGATTATGATTCGTTTCTTGTTTCTGGAAGCACCCACTATCCAAATCCAGTGCAGGCCTTGCTGGGCTGTCCCACCTGCCTCAGCAGAGCTTCTGTCCGAGGTTTGGTCCTGGCTGCAGGGCTATGTAGGAGCAGAAAACCAACCACTGCTGGCTATGGACAGTTGGCACAGTTCACTACCCACGGGGTAAACACCAAGGCAAAAATGCCCAGTGTTTCCCTGGGTTCACCTTCTTCTCAAGGAGGGCCCGTATGGGCATAGCCATTGCCGTTGTAAAATTGTATTTTAAGAAAAATAAATATTCTGCACAATGTATTTACAAGAATCAGTTGTTTTATCTTGTACCCCAATTACTATAAGATGGAAAACTATAATTTAACAACTATGAAACATATTCTTGGTTGGTTTTGTCAGTTCAACATAGAATTAGGCTCCAAAATATTTTCTGATCTATATTTGTAAATATACAAAATTGTAAATTTTAATTTGCTTAGAAGAGAAGTTTGAAAGAAAGAAGTAGAAATGATTTGTTTGAATCTCCTGACTCCTTCAGAGATGCAAATGTCCAACAATGTCTTCCTACTACCTGGTGACCGAGGGGCAGTTTCTCATTTTCCTTTTGGATATGAGGGACTTGGATTCTGCCATGACTTTTGGTCACATTAAACATCTACTACCAGCTACCACACAGAAAGCACAATGTGCACTCTCCAACAGGCACAGCAGGGGTGAGGAATGTCTCTAGAACTTGAAGAGATCAATGAAGTGCTGTGGAGACACAGGCGTGAAGCAGCTGTCTGGGTCAGCTGCAGTGCAGGGATGTCCTGAATCCTGTGGGGGAAGAGATGGGTCAGGAGACATTGTTACTACCTCTGACAGCCATATCCACAGAAAAGTCACAGTTTTTGGTCAAGGGAACCCAGCCCCACCTCAACAATGAGAATCACTACAACATAGTGACCCCAGCTCAGCCTCAGACAATTGGGGATTTTTACACAGGCTACTGCTGTTTCTCTGCCTCTCTGGCTGCTCCTCATCCTCATCCCTTTGTTACCAACCTGCCCTCTCTGGCCACAGAAGCCTCCACCCACCTGTGCCCTAGCCACACAGGGCTGATCAAACCCAGAGCCACTGCTCACAGTAGGGTCGAAGGGTCCGGCATTACTCAGAGCTGAAGAACCAGAGGGGGAAAAACCCAGAGCTCTGTCACTATCCATCGAGGCCATTTGAGGCCACTACTGTTCCTAGTCCTGAGATTGGGTGTGCCCTGTGAGCGAGCTTTCAGGGACAGACAGGTCTATAGTCTCAGCAAGAGACTACAAGCAGGGTGGAGCAGCACGGGATGCAGCTGTGTACAGGGACACAGAAGTACCTTCAGTAACCAGGTGAGGTGGTAATCCTGACATGGTGCAGAAAGAACCAGCAAGGAGTGCAGCAAAAAGAAGGAGAAATTCGGTTAGAAAGAGCAGGAAGTAGTTAGCAGTTAGGTTTGATGTACATTCTTTATGATAGTAACAAAAACATCAAGTAACTAAATTTGGACAATACTAAATATTATGCAAAGTAAGACAAGGCACTATCAGACACTTTGTTTTGGGACAAGGAGAAAAACCCATTTCCTTTCAGTCTCTCAAACGCATAAATCATGGGGCCACAGAAAAATCTTCAGAAATGTTCATGGACAGAACAGGAGGAAGTGCTGATTGTTTCACACCGACTTCATCCTGGAAACAGTGTAGCAGGTGTTTAGAGCACGTTGCAGTGCTCCATGGTAGAATCTCAGCCTGGCCCTGACCCAGCTCTTCAGGGAGGATGGCAAAGGTAGCACGACCCCACTCCTGCTTCTGCGGAAATGGCTCACCGGGGACTGACTGGGTAACATCTGGGGGTGCCACCACAGCTGTGCTCCTGGCAGCCATATGGGGCTTGCAAGGTCCTTGCTGGGTTCTTGGCCCTTATCTTTGGCAAATGATATGCCAAGACAAGAAAGTGACACAGAAATGCCAAATCTTCGTCCTGGCTTGCTGAGCTCTGTGAGTCTGCTGTGCCTGGCTGGGGTTCTGTGCACTTGGGGGAACAGTGAGGGGCAGGTATAAAAACACCTATATGTTAACTCTGCCTTTTTCAGCATCTGGTGGCAGCACCACTGAGGCGGGTCATAAAGGCAAGGAGAAAAGTATAAGCATCACTCTTCAAAAGAGTAGACCCAGAACAGATGCAAAATCCACCTGGAGCCAGATAAGGGGCCTTCGCAGAGGACGGGATAGGGTATGGAGAATGGCCCCATGTCTACTATATGGAACTGGCTTTTTATCCAGGCTGAGGCCATTAAGGGTTAGTTATCTGCCTGCCCTTCTTAACAGTTCTGAGATGTCTTCAATGCCTCAGTTCATAGGCTGAAGAAATAATGAAGAGCAGGCACTATTTCCTGGGCAACACACATCTGCTTCAGGGGTGGCAGGGCTGGCAGCCTACATGTGGCTACACATAAGATAGGTGGGGCTTTCTGCCCTGGGCAGGGAGCGCTGATGGCTTTGGCAGCTAAATCAAGAGAGGGTGTTCGTTATTCACACTTCACTTCATGGTTCAGAGGCAGAAACATAACTATCACTGATCCTCTGGAAGGATGTCTAGTGGAAGAAGCTGAGCTGAGGAGTCCCTAGGACCACACTACAACAGAGTGTATAACTACACTAAAGGCTGGAAGTGCATCATAGATCAGAAGACCAGGGCTCATTCTAAATTTTCATAGCATGATTATATGCAGCAAGACTGGAATTTAGAGGTTAATCCTTTTGGAAAGCTAAAACTCACCTCTCAGTTTAATAAAAAAAAAAAATCTTACAAATTTCAACATATTCTTATACTGCCTAATAGCAAGACACTACAGAGAAAGTATATGTTTCTATTAATTAGCCAATGGAAGAGCTCCAATACACTGAGGCCCTGATTTGGGAAAAGTATAATTATATAAAACTGTAAGCCTCTAACCAATGGCTGCATCTTCCCCCACAAAGGAATTATGACTTTAACTAACTTTCATAGTATAAAACAGTCCACTCAGGAGAGACAACAAACAGTGAATTTGAAGTAAATGCATCATCCACCTTGGTGACACGATAGAAGAGAAGCCAGTGCACTGGTCTTGGAAGGACCAGGGCAGGGCAGGTGTCAACACCAGGTGAGGGTGCAGAGGAAGATGCTCCTTGTACCCGCTGTCACCAAGGTTGAGGATTAATCTGGGCCCAGGATGGTCCCTGCTTGTGGGACAGTATCCTACTGAAAGACAGCGTGACAGAAGGAGTCACACCAAGATAGGAAACAGAAACTCAGAAATAGTAAATCTCAAGGGTTATTTTTGTTGGAGGCATCAGCAATTGTTCATAATGCTGCTTATCTCTGATAGAGTAAAGAGAACCAACCTTTATTAAAATACAAGAAAAACTCAGTATCTTTAGATTCTTGGGTCAGCCATGGATCATAAATATAGCTACTCTATTATAAGTAGAGTTTGAAATGAAAAAAATTAAAAGCAGTTCTCTCTTTTCCAACATCTCGCACTCACTCTAACCTGCCAATGGATTTAGAAAAATGTAAAGCAAGAGAAACAATCAAAGCAGGTGATAGTGTCTACCAGAAAAAGCCTCACCTCCCTCAACCAAGAAGCTGCATTCCTTGTCTGAGGGCTGTCCTAGCTGAGGACAATCAAGGAAGGACCTCTCCCCGTACAGCCTGGGTCAGCAGGGTCAAGGCTGCCTGCTGGCACTATAGGTATCAGGTTCCAATCATTTCAAAGCTTTTCCCCAGTCAAATCTCCTATTAAACATATTCAAACACTACACAAACCATGTAAATGCATTCTAGTGATGAACAGTGTCAACACACTAAGGAAACTTGTATTCAAGCAGCAGTCCACAAGGCCCACTTCTGATACTGAAAGCATGTTGTCATCAGGGACAAAGTGTGGGTAGCAGGATTTAAAACAACTAGTAGGAACCAGGGGGTGAAGGATTGCCTGTTTACTCTGGATATGGAAACTGCTGAAGATGATGTTTCTACATTGTTACCTGAAGACGAGTATCTTCTATTTTGATCAACTAAATATGAAGAGTGCAGGTTTATTTTTAAGCCTGTATGTTTTTATAGCCCCCTTGCTCTAAGCACTTGATTTTGGAACTAAGATGTATCCTGGTCACTGCAGACAGTGGGCCTGTCAAGACAAGATGTAAGAGGCTAAGCAATGGCAGGTATGAAGGTCTGTCGGGCCTTCCTGCTCCCTCAGTGCCTGCTACATGCTAATGTCCATAAAAGGAAGATGGTGTGCCCAGGGGGAGAAATGCCCTGCATTTCAGCTTTTAACAGTTCTTGTTTTTTTTTTGGTACTGGGTATTGAACTTGGCTGTGCGCTTGCAAGGTAGGTGCTTACACTGCTGAGCTAAACTCCTGGCCCTAGCTTTTAACATTGTTGACTCAAGACACACATTTTACAAACATCTGTTCCCACCCCCACTATATGGTGAATATATCTTATTAGCTTTTTCGTTACAAACAATATTTTTACTTTTTCTTACCTTTCCACTTTAAGTACATGTGAACAGTTTGTTTCACCCAACTCCAACCATCATATTTAAATTAAAAAGTACATTTTAAATTATTACCTTCCAAAAAAGAATACTGCAGTGCCGACAAAAATGTAAGGTGTCTCCATACTGTTCTTTAGTTGGATAATATTTCTGAAGTATAAAATACATCAACTTCCATTCGATATGACCTTTTTCTGAAAGGATCAAATGTCTACAGAACTAGAGAAACAAAGTTCTATTCAGAACTCCATGATTTTCAAAACAATATAAGATGCATTTTTTTCCTTTTCCCTTCCTTCATTTTGAAATTTTGTTTCATTTTTTCCATTAAAAAAACATTAGGTGCAAAACTATTTTTAAAAGGCAGTATAGCACATAAAAAATTTAACTATATGAAATCAAGCTTACTTGGATTAAGTCATAAAGGACAAGTCAAATGAATCACAATGTACCTATGTGATACTAAACAGCTGTGAGACAGCTCTCAAGATTTGGCTCTAGAAAGATGCACACATATAAAGTTAAAGTAAGTAACTCATGTCATTTTTATGGTAAGAAACTTATATACAGAATAACAACCAACTATGAAAATGGGCAACAGAACCGAAAAGATGTCTCCAAGAAGACACAGGTGTCTAGTGATCTCAGAAAGAGGTGCCCACCACCTGCCATAAAGACAAAGGAACACAACACCACTTCACCCACGAAGATAGCTGTTAAAGAAAGTCATAGCCAATGCTGGGGCTTTGATGGCTGGGCACCTTGGGCAATGCAAATGGGCCACAGTCTAACTGGCAACTCCACTCCCAGGAACTCATCTCACACAGGCTCACAGAGAAATGCATACATAGCAGTTAAGTGCTCCTGAGCCACAAGGTGGAAGCACACCAGATGTTCACCAGCTGCAGAAAGGGTACAAAAGATGTGGCTCATTCAGAGTAGAATATATGTAGCCTTGAACGGAATGAAGCCTTGATTCCTAACATTTAGAGGGCCACAGAGATAAGCAAAAGGATCCAGGTATAAGAGGACAAACAATATATATCCTACTCAAGCCAGTAACTAAACAGGAATGTCTCCAGAGAGAAAGCAGATAGATGTGGGCTGCTCTAGGCTGGGGAGGGTGCGGTGACAGCCACAGAATTATGTTCTTCCTCAAGTGATGTCCACGTGACAGCCTAACAGCATTACTGAACAGTGTCCAGCCACCTGGATGCTGAGTCCCATAAAAGTCTGCAGTACGGGTGGGTGGGTTTTGACAGGCTGTCTCTCATTGCTGTTTGTGCCTCATCTAATGTTGCAGGGAACATGCTTTGCTTTTCATACCCAAGAACCATCACTTGTAGAACACCCTCATTCTGGGGAGGTCATGGATTTTGAAGAGTTATAAATTAGGATGGCGTCCATGAAGAAATCTTGTTCCTAATAAAATCTGAGGAAGAGAGCCTGAAAAGTGAAGGAAAGAAACTACACACTTGACTCTATTCATCTCTGTCTCCCAGATATTGCTGAGACATCTGCTTTGAGGAATGAAAGCAGCTCTGCACTCTTAGCTCCTTCCCACTGAGTTTCTGCCCACTCTTCCACTGTCCTTCTCCTAGAAAGCCATCTGCAATCTTTCTGCTCTTGAGCCCCTGCTCATCCAGGTGATTGAATTAAGTCTGCATGGCTAGCAGGCCCTTCTAGCACCACTTTAAACCACGGTCCTGTGCCCCTTCCTTCCACCATTTGATTTTCACAAGGGTTCTTGCCAATTGCGTTGTTTTCATGAAGTGAGCTTCTAATATGCTTGTCTTTTCTCAGGTAGTTACCAGGCTCTAAAGAATAGATACTTATTTTTTGGATGCTGTATTTTTAAGTCAAGAAAAGGTATAATACCAACAAGATTAACCGTAGGTGTAAACTGTAAAATAACCTAATTTCTTATGGGATATGAGTCTTATTAAAGTATCTTCAAGGAATTACAAGGACTTCACCATGGCTTGAGGTCTAAAGGTCTAAATACTTTTCTACTGATATGTCCAGCACCTCTGTTTATGGCCAGACTAAGTGGAAACACAGCTGAAACCCTCATTTGTCTCCCTGCAAGCATGTGTGTCCAAGGGCAGGAGGTCTCAGGGTGACTGTGTGACACAGGCCCACTCCCAAGTGTAACTCCCTTTAATCTGATGCTCCCTTTTTTCCAATGCTGACTTAGAATTCAACCTTCCTATTCAGATAGGGAAACATTCTTTCTTTGCCCCAGCAGTTCCCAAGCCCTGTTCTCCTGGGTCGCTTCTGCATCTAGGTCCTGCCAAATGTCTTCTTGGGATTCTTCCAGGTCCTTTCTGCATCCTCCTGCCCCAGTCCATTGAGGGTTTTCCTGTCCACCACCTTTTCTTCCAAAGATATCCTATAAAGGGCCTCCTGTATCATGCCAGTCTGTTTAAGCAACAACAGTGGTCTCTGACAGCTGAGTTACTTCCACATGCTGCACTGGCTTCACTGAGAGCACTAGACAAGGATCCCTGGTGGCTCAGTGACTGCTTGACACCTCTCTAACTGAGGATAACCTTCCCCACCAGGCCTTTTTTTTTTTTTTCTGAGAGCTACTGTGTTGTCAGAGCACACAGTTCCATCCTACATCCACATGTCACTTGCCACACCTTACACAGATCCACATCTGGCACCCTGCATGAGCACTGGGCAGGGGTCAACACAGCCAAAGCAGAGATTCATTATGGATGAAGAACAGTGGAGTTTATGGACAGCACCTATCATGTCCATGAGCTCCTGAGAACACTCAAGAGGGAGGATAGGGAACCAAGGCTCCTTGCTACATGCTAGTACATATAGCTTGGTGATAGGCAGATGCAGGGAAATCTGGGGATCCTGTCACCAACAGGCAGGACAGAGAACATGATTCAGGCTGTGCTGTTTTCAGGCTCTGGGTTATTTTCAAAATCATGCTCTCTCTGAATATGGAAAATAAACTTTGTATTTGTCAAAGAGACCATGGACTCAGATGGCCTCACACTTACCTGTTGCTCAGCAAAGTGGTACTGACACAGCTTCTTCCACAGCTGCCTGTCCTCACTGAGCATGTACAGGGTGGGTGTCACCTGGCCCAGAGTAATGATGTCCCACCCATCCGAGAAGCGGTACAAGATGTTGCTCAGCATGTGCAAGGGCAGGTCACTGAGGGTGAGGCCACTGTTAACGTGCTGAAGGAAAGATGGTAGGTTTTTTCACACAGAAATGGAACAGCTGAATTGGAATACATGCTTCCCAACATAGAGATAAAGAGGCTCTGCCCCTAGGATGGCTTTGCATATTCCCTGTGGCGTGGCAAGTGCCTACCCAGCACACTGGTCATCTCCCATGTTCGTGGGGAAGGAGGTATCTGAACACTAGTTTTCTCTGTGTCCATGTGGAAGGTGGACCCTGAATACTGGTCATTTCCCATGTCACTGAATTAGGAAATCACTACTGTTGTAAGTTCTATATTTAGATGGCAAATAAATGACCAAAATTTAGGTTTTTCAGGGTCCCTACAATGGTCTCCTTTCATGTGGTTTGTTGGGGGCAGAGAGAAAGGAAATCATGCCCCTATGAGAAGAATGACAGTTTGGAGAATCGTACATACACTAGCTGTGCTGTAACTTATACTATGAGGATGTACCTACAGCTTATTTTTTTCCTATAATTATAAGAGGAAGTAAGACAAAGACTTCAGCCAGTGATATAATATGTACCTACTTTTTTTTTTTACCTTGTTCACTGTTTCTAAAGAAACACACAAACATACACATACACACAGAGCAAATGCCTGGCAAGCAAGAGGAGAGAGCAAAAGAAATTCTGGAGAAGCAACTATGAAAAGGGAGAGTTACTGGCCATACAATTTAGTTTTAATTTACTACATGTTAATTTATGCTCACACAATTAATTTTGTTTAAAAGTGAATTAGTTTACCATGTAATTTCCCATAAGGTAAATGATCACCATCCTTATACTTTCCAGTAACACCAGGGTCTTTTGCTTTTTTTTATTTTAAAATAATTTAATTAATACTTCTGAAAGAGTAAAAAAAAAGTTTTAAAAAGCTTCACATTTCTTTGTCAGATTTTTGTAAAAAAAAACAAATGGCATAATAATTTCATGCCAGAAAGAAATCAAGAAAGCATTCCCATTCATGATAGCTTAAAAATTATAAAATATATAGAAACAGATTTAACCAGGGAACTAAATGTCTGTATAATGAAAATTATAGCACATTGGTGAAAGAAACTGAAGAAGGCACCAAAAAAAGACAAAAAAAGGAATGAATTGGATTGAAAGAATCATTATTACTAAAATGTCCATGCTATCCAGAATAATTTACAGACTTAATGCAATTCCTCCCAAAATAGAATGACTTTCTTTGCAAAAATAGAAAAAAAAAAAAAAACACTCCAGAAATGTGGAAGGAATCACAAAATTCCCCATATAGCCACAGTGATCCTGAACAAGAGGACAAAGCTGGAGGTGTCACCATATCTTACAAAGAGAGGAGGGTGACAGTAAACAAACCGGATGTTAATGTCATAAAAACAGCCACATGGATTAATGGAAGACAACAGAAAACCCAGAAATAAATCTGCCTATTTTCAACCAACCGATTCTCAACAAATGCAGCAAAAAACATACATAAGATAAAGAAAAAATTCTTCAACAGTGGGGCTAGGAAAACTGAATATCCATGAGCATAAGACTAAAATTAGACTCTACCTCTTATCATATACAAAATCAATCCAAAATGGATCAGACCTAAATATAATATCTGAAATATGAAACTATTATAAGAAAACAAAGGAAACACTTCAAGATACTGATACAAGGATTTAAAAAAAATATATATGACCTCAAAAGCACAGACAACACACATTTGGTTTTACTTTCTTCCAAAAAAGTAATAAGAACTGTGGGAGTAATAAAACCCAAAAAGTGTAACAGTGATTGTACAAAAGAGAGGAAAAGTGCTCTAAACGATATAACTGCGTGTATATTTAAGTATATAAGATAGACAATGATATTACTGAGTTTTGTTGGATCATTGAACAGAACTGTTTGCAGTCTCACTGTTTGAATGTCCACTTTATATGCTTTAATTTTGTAACTTGAACAAATATTTCTAAGATGACAATATGTAATCCATTAACTAGTGATTTCCTACTGTTTATTTGTTTTCTGAAATTCTGTATAACTTGTACCCTTTTCTGCTTTTTTTAAAATTTTTCCTTAAATAAAATTTAAAAAAAAAGAAAAAAAAAGCACAGGCAACAAAAGCCAAAATTGATAAATCAGATTATACGAATTTGCAAAGCTTCTGGAGCTGTTGATTTCAGAGGTGAAGTCAACAGCTCCAGACTGAAGAATACTTTCAAACTATTCATCTGACAAGAAATTTCCTCAATATGTAAAGAACGCAATTCACAGCAAAGAAATCCAAAATAATCCAATTTAAAATTAGCTAAATGAACTGAACAGATATTTCTCAAGACAATAGACAAATGATCAATAAGCATACAAAAATAAAATCTGAACAAACACACATATACACACAAAAGACCTCCTCAACCTCAGTTATTTTCAGGGGGGGGGGAAGCTGCAATGAAAGATCTCAACCCAGATAGAACTGCTATTATTAAAAAGACAAAAAATAACAAATGTTAGTGAAGAAAAACAGAAAAGGGATCTCTCTCATACACAGTTGGAATGTAAATTAGTACAAACATTATGGGAAAAAATTTGGTGGTACCTTAAAAACACCAAAAAACATAACAAACCACTACCATGATCACCACAACAAAAACCTCAGAAATAGCCATCCAGCAATTCCATTATGGGGTATATATCTGAAGGAACTGAAATTGGCATGCTAAAGATATATTTGTAATTGCAGGTTTACTGCAAAGCACTACTAACAATAGCCAAGATTGTGTAAATCACCACAGGTTTTCACTGATGGATGAATCAGTAAAGAAAATGTCATATTACATAGTGGAATATTATTCATCACAAAAAGAATGAAATCCTAGTACTGACAGCACATGGATGGAACTGGAGGACATGGCAAATGACACTGCACACAGAAAGACAGCCTACGTTTTCACTTACAAATGGAAGCTAAAAGCTGGGTTCAAGCAAGTATAGAACAGAATAATGGGCCTCAGAGCCTAAATGGGTTGAAGGGAGAGAAGGGATGGAGAGGGGATGGTTAATAGGATGGTTAATAATAGTTTGGGAACATTGCTGGATAAGAATAATAATTTTTAGTAGTCTACAGCAGAGTTGGGTAACTATGACTGACAACAATTAATTGAATATTTCAAAACAAACAGTAAAGAGGATTTTATTTTTCCCAATGCAAAGAAATGATTATTATTATATGTCTAAAGGGACAGACATTACTCTGACATGATCATTACACATTGCATATATGTACTAAAATGTCACATTGACTCCCATAAATATGTAAAATTACTGTGTCAATTTACAATATATTTATAAAGACAGATTTTTTACCTTAGTCATCTGAAGATTCTGTAGTTGTTGTTGCCAGCCAAGGACAGTTTCTAAGCGGCAAATCCAGATATTGATGTTCCCTACTAGCACTGACTTCCCTACCCCTCTGATAAGAATACATAGAGTAGAGCTCAGGTCTTGCAGGAGATCTTTGATCAGGCGAGGATTCTGGTGGTCATCAAGAACTAGAATGAACAAAAAGCTGTGTGTTGGCACAGTGAACCACCACTTAGAAAATGATTTAGCATCTCAAATAAGTGTCCACTACAGATGAACTAATAAACAGTATGTAGTTGGTACATACAATGGAATATTGCTCAGCTTTTAAAAGGAGGTCAGGTGTGGTGCTTGCATGCTTGCAGTTCTAGCACTTGGGAGGCTGACACTGGAAGAGGACCATAAGTTCAAGGCCTGCCTGGGCTATATAGTGAGTTCAAGGCCAGCCTGAACTACACAGCAAGACTCAGTTTCAAAAAATCAAAAAATAAATATGAAATTAAGAAATAGGAAGGAAATTCTGAAACACACTGCATTTGGATGAACCCTGAAGACATCCTGTGCCAGAAATAAATCAGTCGCTAAAGACAAACATGGTAGAATTCCACTTACGTGAAATATCTACATTAGTCAAAATCATAGACAGAAAATAAAGTGGGGGTGCCAGGCGTGAGGAAAGGAGTAATTGTGAATTACTGCTCCATAGTGCAGTTCCAGCTCTAGGCAATGAAGATATTCTGGAGGTGGCAGGTCGTGATGGCTGCCCAATGAAATGCATGAGATGCTGCTGAACTGTACAATTAAAATGGTTAAAATGGTAAATGTTAATGTTATATATATTTTACTACCCCCCAAAAAAGGATTTAATCACATTACAACCCAAAGAGGCATAATTTTTGAGGTATTACAAGTATATTAACATTTTTTAAAACCTTACCATTTCATCTGATGGTAAATTTTCAATTGGCTTTTCAATTCGGCATCTACTTCCTTATTTATCACAGACAACATTTTAAAGTGGCTTACATGTATAGTTACAAATTCCTGTATGTGCATACAAGCTAATGGTGTAAAATTTAAAGTTCCCTTACAGCTACTAACTAACCAAGGAAAGGTCATTACATTTTCTTAAAATACTGGTTTACTTGATGTCTAAATCAGTGAGCCACAGTCCTGCCAATTATGGAACCAGGCAGCTAAATGAACAATGATTAATTACAAAAAAGGCAAAATGGCTTTTTGGAGATCTGTAATTCATGATCTTTCCTGTCATAATATATCCATATGTATGCAAAAGCAGCTTTTAAAAAAGCAAACAGCAGTCACACTGAGCTTTAGGAGCTAAAGGAATGAGCCGTCATCCTGTCACATCCAATGTAAATGTGGTCACAGCATTTACATTATTTTTGCTCAACTAAATACCAGGGAAAAATCAAAGAAAAATTCCTTTTCTTTGCACCAAATTTCTAATTAAGATTTGGATTAGTAAAACTTCCAGAGATCACCTTACCCTTTTGAACGATTTTATCCAAAATGCTGAAGTAATTCTTCTGTGCCACACCACTCAATGAAGTTAACTGGGATTTTGCAATTAGCTGCAATAGCTTAAAAGAAAGAGAGAAAACTAAGCCCTGTAGAAATTTGTTTAACATAAAACATATACTTCGTAAAATGGCACAAGTATAGGCTGCTGCATCTGCCTGTACCCAGCTATGGGCATGGAAGCTGAGGCTGTGTGGGAGCTTCACCTCCAGCTTTCAGCCCTGTGCAAAGTCCCTGCTAAAAGCCTGAGGGATGGTGTGCAGCCTCTGTGCACAGCAGCAGTCAGCACAAGTAAGCTATGGCTGTCAATTCTGGAACTAGGTAGCTAAGTGAAGTGATTAGTTAACTATGAATAATTTACATATTCCAGCATCATTGTATGACAAGACTCATTTGTGAAGGTTATGAGGGCCTTCCACCCAGAGACCAAAAAAGAAAAAGGCAAAGTAAATCCCAACTGCCCTGTGGCCAGGATTTGCAAGGACCCTCAGGGCCAGCAATAGAACATAATGACAGAATCTACACATGATAGATCTTCTTGTGAGGGGAATGAGGGTACTCAAATTGACCTCTTCCATGCTTCTTAAAGTGCTGGGTCTCTGCTGTGCCCACTGCTTGATGACTGTCTCTTGACACTGCAAATAAGCTGTGTTTTTCCTTCCATCTCACAGCATTTTTACTTATATCTGACCAGCAGTCCTGTCCTATTCTTTACCTCTACCTCCATGAATCTCTGTACTCTGGGTAGTCCTCACACATAACCTGGAGTTGGGCTTTGCTGTTGCTCTTGTCTGGAAATCTTTCTTATTTATTTATACAACACAGGGTTGATCTTAATTGTATTACTTGATTTTGTAACTTAAAAAGAAATTCTCATTCTCGCCCTGCATTTCTTTTAAAATCTAGGACAGTTTGTATTGTTTTGCGCTAGAGGTACTATTATAACAACTCTGTGTGACTCTCACCCTCCTGAGCTTCAGACAGGGCATCTCAGTTTCGTGCTCTCCTCATGGTAAACTGCCATCGTATCATTCCCCTTCCTTCTCACTCTATAGCTTGAATTTTGTAAATAGCACTATATTGGCAATCACAGGTTACACTGAGAACCTTCTAGCCACCTCTTTTGTTTCCCTCCCTGGTGGTACTGCCATGCCCTTTCTTATGGTCCAGGACTCATCTTGCCCTGGTGCAATATGTGCCCTCATCTTGGTGTATAGCTGAAGTACTGGCTAGCACTGGTGTCAACTTCCATTGCTTCTCCAGCCATCTCTTGATTGGCTGAAGTTAATTCCTCAAGAATGCTAAAGACTACCAGGGAATGGGCTGAAAAAGGAGATAATATAACTTGATCACATAGATGGGATCATTAAAGATGAACAACTGTTTTCCAACAACCAGACGACCCAGAAAAAAATTCCTGGATCCATACAACTACCAAGACTGAAACTAAGCAAACAGAAAACCAGAAGAGATAAAACTCGATCAGAAATAAAGCCTTCTACCAAAGACAAGCCAGAACTAAATGGCTTCAATGCTGAATTCAACCTAACATTTTAAGAAGTGACATCACTGTTCTTCATATTCTTCTGAGAAGAGAAAGAATTCTCCCAAATACATTCTATAAGGGCTTCATTCTCTTTATAACAAAAGCAGACTAGGATACAACAACAAGACACTAGACTAATGAACATTGATGTAAAACATCTCATAAAATATCAGCCAACCGAAACCAACAGCACATTAAAACACAACTCACTCTGATTAGGACCAGGAAATGCAAAGGATGGCTCAAAAAATACAATCATAAATAACATACATTCCATGAACAGGATAAAGGACAAAAACCACATGATCATTTCAACAGACACATAAAGCATTTGATGAAATTCAACATCACTTTGTGATAAAACTTAGAGCAAATGAGGCACAGAAAGAAAATAACACAACATAATCAGGGCCACACAGGATAAGCCCACAACTACTATCACACTGAACTGGGAAAAACTGACCTCTTAGATATGGAACAAGACACATATGTTCACTTTTATTCAACATTGTGCTGGAAGGTCTAGCCTGAGCAATCAGGTAAGGAAAATAAATACATAAAACGTATCCAAATCAGACCAAAAGAAGTCAAACTGTCATTGTTTACAGATGACATGATCTCATATGTAGAAATTTCCAAACACTCTGCCCAAAACTATTAAAATAAACAAAAACCAATCATTTATGACATCATGGATGGAACTGAGGATCATTATATTAAGCAAGCTAGACACAGAAACATAAGTACTACATGATCTCATTTGCATGTGAAACCTTAGAAAGTTGCTGTCACCTTAAGACCATAATATTAAATGAAATAAATCAGATACACACATTTAAGTATTTCATGGTTTCTGTCCTATGAGAAATCCAAAGTATAAATAATTAAATAGCAAAATAAAATACAGACAATGTCAAACAATGAGACAGATCTTTTGCAAAAGAGAAAGTGATCAAACAAGGAGGGAGGGGGATAGAATGGAAGAGAAGGAGATGAAAACAAGAATTAAGATGTGCTATGTACATGCATCAACTTCCCATAAGGAATATAATAATTATGTATTATAAGCATGTACTAATAAAAAGAAAAGCTAAACTAAAAGAGTAGCATAGGGATTTAGCCTCTAATGAGGCTGGGGAAGGTTTCATCAACAGGTACCAAGTTATAGTAGTAATAAATTCTGGTTTTCCAATGAATAGTAGGGTGAATACAGTTAAAAGTATTATATACCTCAAAATAGCTACAAGACTGGAGTTTGAATGTACTAACCAAAAAGAAATGATAATGTTTGAGGACATAGACAGCTAATTACCTTGATTTGATCATTATACATTATATCCATGTTTCAAAACATCACAATTTACTCCATAAATTATGTGCTAATTTAAAAAAAAAATTCTTACAAGACTAATATTCCCTGAATTCTTATGTGGTCAATACTATCTGATACAATGTCAGAATAAAACTGTTTGGACAGAAAATTCAGGTTTGCCTTTACTTCCTCAAGGATCCAGGGAGGACTCTAAGAATGTGGAGAAACCTAATGCCTGATTCCTCTTCCCATGGAGACTTCTGGGTTTGCTTTCCTGTTAAGCAGGTCCTCACCTCTCCTTCTGCACCCAGTAACTCTGGGGAACAGATCCTGCTCAAGACTATTCTGGGTCACACAGCATAGCCTTTTAAACCAGAAGGGAGCCTGGACAGTTCAGTGCCATGTTGAAGACTCATCTCAACTTAGGTCCTCTCATCCTGATGTCCAGTTTTCAACTGGTTCCATGTGTGTTCTGTCCCTGTCACCCTAACCTCTACCCCTCTATCTCTAATCCTGCCTGCCCCTCTAAAAATCCCTCAACTACCTATCCTGCGTCTGTGGGAGCCCAGTCCTGTCATCTTCTGGTTTACTGACATCTCCTAGTATCTGTCCTGGAGCTCACCTTTACTGCTATATTAGTGTCCTGTTGCTTTTCCTTTTTAATGAAATGGGGTCCTAATTTCCATCCTGCTTCATGGATACATTTTCTTGGTGTTCTGCACTGACTGATTGGTTTCACTGTTCTTTCCATATTTTCTTCAGAGAATAGTCATGCTTTCTATCAGTACCGGGGATCAAACTCACGACTGTGTGCTTGCAAGGCAGGTGCTTATGCCACTGAGCTAAATCTCCGGCCCTATTCATGCTTTTGAAGTTGTTTCCTTCGCCTAGAACTTTATTTTGCAGGAGGGGTGCAAACGAGGTCCAGGCCTCTGACCCCAGCTTTCTCCTGCACTGTTTCACGTCACATAGACAATTTCACATGTGAACCCTAACCCTCACTGAGCACAACTGGGTCCAAGAAGCTCTTTGCCACCAGCCATTAGGTTGAACTTCATGCTCTTAATGGAAGCCAAAGTTCAGCAACCATGCACCAGATAGGTAAAGACTGAGACTGTCACCAAGTACTCTTGTTCTCTTTTGTCTATCTATGCCAGTTCTAGCTGCTGGTGGAGACCTTATATATCTCATACAGTCTATAAATTGCACTTGCCTATTTCTCTAAAAGTAGATTTTTACCCCTTTCTTCCAATTCTTCTTGCAGTCTCTGTTGATTTCCAGAAAGAGAAAGGAAAATGCTAATAATCACATATTCAGCCATAAATAACATTATCAATATCACAATTCCATGATAATCTGAATAAAAATTTTTGCAACTTCTGTCTAGATAGAAAGCACCCTTACTAAATAACGAAAGAAATATAGGCCAGGGTGCCGGCCAGAGAACAAAACTATATAAGCCCATCACTAAAATTACAGCCCAGTTCCTTTTGTGTGTGTATGTGCACATTGCTGGGGATAAAATCAGCATTCTAGGCAAGTCCTTTGTCTCTGAGTTACATCCTAGGCCCTTATCTTTTCAAACTTTCAGAATATTATTCAATTTCTTCCTTGTTTTGACCATTGTCTCTTCCTCAGATGGTAACAAATAATAGTAACAGGATGCAGGTTGCTGAGGTTACAAATTCTATTGTTAATAAATCCAGGTGGGCAAGAAGGACTCAGGTATGTAGAGACCATAGACCTCCTCACCATCACAGTCAGTCCTGTGAGCATCTGGTGTCATTAATAGGAGAGGTGCAGACGGGTAGGCATGCAGTGCTGTTCACTGTTACAGAGAAACACCTACCTTCCATCTTTACTCTGAATCTGGTTAGATATGCTTGTTTAGACTTCCACTGATCCCTGATTACAAAGGCACTATCTGCAGGACTTCCTGATGTCCTTCAATTCCAATGGTGGAGTTCCAATGTGGTTCAGAAAGTAGAGGTGCAGACAAGGAGGACACAAGTGTAAGCCCAAGAGCCAAAGTGGGGAGGGGTAACCCACAGCAGGTGTGGCCTCAGAATCTGCACTGGGCCCTCATGGCTGCCTCTATTCCCTGTGTATGGAGCAAACAGCCCTAAACAGCCTTCCATGCGTTAGATTTTATCATCTGATTCTAAAGTCTCCCAGTTTTACTGTGTTTCTCTTGAAAGTATGTAAACCATGCTGTGTGAAAGCAGGCTGGAGCAGAACTGTGGTGGTCCTCAATACCCTGTGTGGTCTCTAGATTTCCTGGCAATGCTTCAGTAGCCTCCCTCAGCTCCCCAAGGCCTGGGGCTTCTTTTCAGCCTCCTCCACCTCTCCCAAGAAATTCAATGGACAGGAAACCATGTGCTGCTCAAGCAGAAGGTTTTTGAGGAACCTTTCTTGGCAATTAATACCCCTTTTGATTCTCATCTTGCCTGCAAACTTCTAGTACAGGCAAAAAGAATGCTATTTGATCTAAAGTTGAACTGTCAAGTAATCTTTAACTTTAATAAAAGGATTCTTAGTTGATGCATTTAGCTATACTCTACAAATTATCTTTTTGATAGGATAAAAATGCTGAGTTACAGAAAAATACACATGGTACTTTCCACTTGTAGAATGTACTAATGGTATCCCAAATCTCAAATATGATTTTGATATTCACTGGAGGAACGGGCTTTCTAGGATACAACCTATTCACCATACTCATAAATTAGGGTCAGTTTTTCTTAAATGCACCAGACCTCTAAGGTCAGACTCAATTCAGCTGAAGTCAAACTCTCAAGCCAGGTGTGATAAGGACTTTCAATGAAGGCACCATCTTTGAGAGGTTCCAAGACTGCTTTCTCAGTCTTTCCCCTTTAATAAATCTTGTTCTTAGGAGCCATAACATGTTTTGCTAATGTAACTTCATCTAGTATTTTCTTCAGAAGAAAAATTATAGGAAATACCTGGAGTTAAATAGCCTACAGTCAATTCTTAAATCAACACTTATGAAAATGATTTTTAAAAAGTGCATATATTATTTCTGTATAAGAGAAACCAGACCAACTGGACACCAGAGAACACCCTTATGCGATGAATCTTTTTATAAAATAGTTGAAATAATTATCTCTATTCTAAGTAAGTTTTCTTGAAAAGACAAAGTACCAGTTCCTGGAAAATTTTTATTTAGTGTCCTGCTAGCCAGTTCATATGAAAAGGCAATACATTAAGTTCAACTGTGTCCCTTAAGACAGATCCAACAAAGCCAACAAAGCCCAAGGCTTATTAACAATATTATCAGATGGTTTCCTTTAGTTTGAAGAGTCATTATCTGAGCATGTCATATGATGCACTGAGAAAGTCCCTTTCTTTCTATCAGGTAAATTTATGAAATTACAAAAACATGAAGTCTAAGCAAAGCCTCATTTGGTGTCAGGACAGCCCATTTTGGTCTGTCTGCCTCTTCTCCCCAAGGTGAGGGAAAAGGTCTGCCTATACCTTAAGAGTACAGTCCATCCCCAGAATCTACAAATTAAATCACCCCATAGTCCTTGAGGTAACCTCAAACCCCACATACCATGGTGAGGAGGTACAGTCACTTGCCCATGGTCTCTGGTGGGTGAATAAGAAAAGGAGAGGAATTCAAACCCCAGTGTGTCTATGCAGGAACTACCCTGCATGGCTCTCTACACAGCATCCAGTTCCATTGCCCTCAATGGGGAGTCCTCAGGAGAGATCTCAAATGTCTTTAAAAACTTGTACATGACCAGATGTTATCACCTAGGATATTATTTTAAGCTCTCAAGTAGTCTCAGTAATGCATATTCACTAATGAATAATCTTTGAGACACTTAGGAGATAGGAAAGAGCACTTGCGGCTAAAGGGACCAGGACTAGGGTGATTCCCAAGACCATGAAAGTCTAAATAAAAATAAGAATGATCAACTTTATCTACAGTGACATCTAAGGCAACAAAATGAAGTGTGGTGAAAAGGATTAGATGCTGAACCAAAACCACAAATCTGGAGTACCTGGCCCTGGACATGCTATCTCACTGATCCACCTGAAAGACAAAGAGTATGTCTTCATTTTTTTTTAGTTTGTAAAATAAATTTATTTATTTATTTAGTCTTTTTAAGACAGCATCTCACTTTATAGTTCAGGCTGGCTTTGAGTTCACTTTGTAGCTCATGCTGGTCTTGAACTCACAATGATCCACCTGCTTCAACCTCCCAAGTGCTAGGATTACAGGCATGTGCTACCATGTCCAGCTGAGAGGATATCTTTAAGCTAATTTCCCAAACAACTAAAATTAAGGTACATAATACTTTGTGATTCTGAAATTTTGTGTTCCTAAGATGTGCCTACTTTAGGAAACAGCATATTTAAATTAGAGGTATTACAGTTTAGTGTGAAACTAATATGGGTATTTCTGTTTTCAAAGCTGACTTAAAAAAAAGTTACTCAGTAAATAGCAATGTGTAGTATGCAGACAAAACAAAAGTCCTGACATAACTTAATGGCTGCAGTTCATAAAGCATGTCCCTGGTCAACAGAGTACCCTATACTAAGCACCATATACTCAGATCTTCCCTAGGGTCAGACAGTAAAAAAAGATGCAGCCCAGTCTCTAGCGCAAGACTTGCTAACAGTGGCTTCTTCCTCCTAGGCCTCTACCCTAGGCTTAACAACAGAATCTCCTTCCTGTTGACAAATCGTCAAGAAATGCCACTCAAGAAGAACTGTGAGCCATTGGAGAAACAGACTTTTCTGCTGGCTCTGCCTCTTCTTGCCACTTGATTCTGAACATTTCAACTAGGAATAGTTAAATCTCAGTTCCACCATCCAAAACAGAGATACCTGAGGAGTCACTCTAACTCTATCCATGAGAACTCAGAGAAGAATGAGAATCTGCCCAATTTAGCTGCATGCAGAGTTGCAGACAATGTGTCCTTGGCTGCCCTGGGCAGGATGAACCACAATGAATAGCAAAGCCAACAGAGGCCATATCTGAAATTTTCAGTTCCCAAAAAGCCATTAAGAAAAAAAAAAATCTTTCCAGTATCCCACAGCACCATTAATAATGCAAAATTAACAGGTTGGTAGATTATGACTTGTGCTTTACTTACAACAGAGTGACGATGAACAAACCACATAGCAGTTAATCTTTAGACAAGGCAAACTGTCTATGGACTATATGGCTCAGATCCTTTTCTTCTGATACAGCCCAAAATAAAACTTTTATTTAAAGATACATCATTAGTACAAAGGTTCTGTGTAGTTGTGTTGTGTCTAAAAAAATTTTTTTCCTATTAGCCTTCTTCTGTGAAATAAAGCTCATTCTTTGTGGAAATCATGAAACAGAAAAATGCATGTGAAATCACAGATAACTCTGGGATCTTCCTGAGGCCAGGTGGGTCAAAGTTAGGCCCAAGGAGAAGTATCACAACACTGTCAGCTCCCTCAAAGCCTAGGCAGGCTTGGGAGCCTAAGGAGGGCCGCCCTGCCAGAGGCCCCCAACCTGTGGCACTGATACTAGGTAATCCAAACCTTTATTACCTACTGAGCTTTTTCCTTTCTCTTCCTACATAACAAACAGGCAGACCTTTCTGCAGCTGCCCAATGCTTACTAAACATTCACATCTGTAATCTTTAAAACAGTTATTCAAAGAACCATCAAAACTGTTTTTGAAACAAAACACTTACTTTGACCACATAAGTGAATCTTCGGATATCCTGAATCGCACTTGAAAAGTCTAGCCGGTTAAAGGCTTCTCCTAAGGTACAATAACCATGCCTCTGGAAAGTAGAAAAGAGAAATTAAATTTAGATGAGCAGCCAAAACAAGATGGCAGCTAATGTTAAGTAGACAATTTTAAAGTTTTGGCAAAGGACATTTGTTTTCATTTTAAGATTTAGATGAGAATACAGTAAAATCACAGTAATGCTAAATTTAAGCCATATGGACAATTCAGACACCATACATTACATTAACTGGCAATCTTTGCAGCACTGCTTATATAATGACAAAGAGAAGCATTTATAATATACCTTGCTGGTTTCCTTTTCTGGGGACAAGGTAGGGTACACACCACTAGGCTAAGGATGCTGTCTGTATCACTAGAGTAAAGAGGCCTGCACTGATGAGGATGTAAGCTACCCTAGGTGGGAACCTCTAGGAAACAGCAAGTAGGTAGAAAGGCTGAGGGTAGGTGGCTAGATCTGACAATTGGCTGTGTTTCCTAGGCTGGGAATTTAAAGGCTGAATGCCCAAAAGCTAAAAGCTGGTCATGAGGCCCCAGGTCCAAGAATCAAACAGGAAATGAAAATATTTTCTTTCAGTCGAGGGTGTAATCTAAAATCCATTCCAACTGACATCCTTAATTCTTCTTTTCTGAAGGGATAGACTTCTAAATGATGGTACAGAAACCTCTTCAAAGTAGCTCCCATCTCATGACAAGAACCAAACCTGGTTCACAGACCAGGCCATGAGCATGCCTGCCTTTACAGCTGTTTGGCCCTGAATCAGGTGCAAGGAAGGAGCTGTGTGACAGGACTTAGACCTGCCAGCTCCTAGCACTAGTCTGGGTCCTTTCTGAGTCTGTCAAGTCAGTGTTCCAAGGATCCATGGGACATCGCTCAAGCCCACAGCAAATCTTGTTGGTTTGTCAACCATAATTTGGTAACAAACCAGGCTAGATTTGTCACTCTTCTAATGGAATTTCAGAGTATACCATTATTCAGAGTATACCCATTGGGGTTGTGTTGTATCTAACACCACCATCATCAAATAGGTTGAATAACTTTTCTTTCACACAATCAAATCTTTATATGTCTAGCAACTTAAGTTAATTTAGGACATCCATTATTAAAATATCTGGAGCATTTAATTTATTCTAGTTTAACTTATTAAAAACAATTGCCATCTGAATTATTTCCCATAAGTGCTGTCAATCAAGCAAATAGAGTTGCAAAGGCTACAAAAAGAACTAGTCTTCCTTGATACTAAGTAGGGAAACAGAAAAACAGAGAGTAGAGCTAACTAGTTCATTTACAGCAGTGGTGGCAAACCCACGGCATGAGTGCACAGTGGGCCCACTCTGTTGCCACACAAGCCAAGTCACCCCATCAGTTGAGCACTGGATAATGGTGTACACAGGGGCAGTGCTGGCACTTTGCAATAAATAGGTGGTTTTGGGGTGCAGTTTGGGCACTTGTCTCTAAAAGGTTCATCATCATTGGTTTAAGGGTTCATTGAAAGCTTTAGCCAATTTGGCAATACAAGGCAGAAAAGAGTTCACACTGCTTTGTGGGCCCAGCCTTCATAACAGTTTTACAAAGGTACTTTCCATATAGCTTTCCACACCACTGCAACATACTCAGATAGACAGTGCGCCATACTACATGCAGATACAGCATGTATATATAGCACATACACATACAACACACATGACATTGCACATATACACATATGCTTATAACATCAATATACATGTATATCCTTTCACATGTCACATATATGTACATATCACACACATACACACCATGTATTCATAGGTATACCTATGTGCACACACACACAATTGTGAACCACACTTCAAAAGATCCTCATGTATACTCATGGCCAAAATACAAATCACAGATTTAACACTGCAAGATATTATTTAACATGATATTTCACTCTCAACAGAAACAATACAGGATATGCCCTTATTTATAAAGAACACTTACTTCTTTTGTGCTTTCTTTATGGACATAGATCCATTTCTCACGATAAAAACCTAGAATAAAAATCAAAATCTGACAATTTATTTGAAAATAAAGATTTTTAAGGAATTTCAATAACTGGATACGCTAACAAAATTATCTGATTTTACTGGATCATTAAGACATGCTTTACTTGGGTAAATGTAAAGAGAAATGCTTTATTTTCTAGTATCAGATAGGATCTACAGAGATTCCTTGACATGGAAAATGATTTACGATAGTTCCCATCTTACAATGCAGAAGAAATTAGTGCTATTAATGACTGCAGTTATATCTAAATACAAGTGATCATATAAATCATTAAATTATTTATTATAACCTTCAAAACTATAATAGTCCTATTTTTTTTTTGCCCTGTATAACACTCCACAGATACACTTTCACAGAACTCTAATCCAAAAGCTTTTCCACTTGATCCTGACTTCTTTATACTGTGACAGGTATTAGTGACATCTGTTATGTGAGCTTTGCAGGACTACCCTGTCACCCCCACACCCTTAGCATCAAATCTCTCAAATCCCAGCCCCTCCCATCCTTGGTTCTTGCTCTGAATTCCCAGTGACACTGCACCTAGATGCTCACTCCCCTCTGGTGGCCTTGCTGCTCCAGAATGAACCAAGTTCACAACAGCCTTTTGTTTACTCAGTTGTGGAGGCTGTGCTGTGGGTTTTGCCATCTTCTGTTTGTTCATATCTTATCAACTCAAATGGCAGAGGTGAAAAAATATGATCACTAAATTGGTACTATCACTGGATGTGGTATTTGTTTCTATATCTACATTACCTTTAATTTCATAAAATAGCACTACCAAAACAACTCATCACTCCAACATTTTAAAAATTATGAGTAAAAATTATCTTACTTTGGGCATTTGTGTCATTTCTGAAATGGTCCTTTTTCCTTTTTTTGTAAGCATATTCACACTCTTCATTATTGAATATTTCTTCATCTTCACTATTTAAGATACTGAAATAAAAATGTTTTATTAAAATATCTTTTGGGGGCCAGAGATAGCTCTGAGGCACAGCACCTGCCTGGTCCTGAGTTCGATTCCCAGTACCAAAAAAAATTTGTTTTTCAAGGAGATCTTCATTTGTCTTATCTTTTGTAAGAGAATGTAATATTTCACTTGTAATGCGAAAGACCAAAACAAAATTCATGTTTAATTCTGAAAGTACTAGCTAACTTTTTAGAGACAGATCATGAGTTTGAAATTACAAGGCCAATGTCTAATACATACTTTCATACTGATAAATCTGTATCTTCATTCTTTTGAGAATGTGAAAACAGAATGCACTAAGTGTGCTTCTCTTCCACAGAATTCACATGATCAGCCAAGGCATCCTCAGGTATCAAAATGCTTGACTAAAATACAAAGATCATAAAAAACTATAAAAATTCTGGAAAGCTTGTGAAAAATGTAATACCTATGACTAACAACTTGTCCCCAGTGTCAAGTAAACATTTGAGATTTCTGTTTATCCTCTATTTTAAAAAAATTTAACTGACATCATTGCTGCACTAAAAAGTTTCTTTTCTTTCTTCCTTTTTTTTTTTTTTTTTTTTTGGTACTGGGGATCAAACTCATGACCTCGTGCTTTGCCAGGCAATTTGTGCTGCTGAGCTAAACTCTTGGCCACTGAAGATTTTCTTAATAAGCATCAATCAAACTGATGTCAAGCCATTTAGTGGAACACTAAAACATAAAATAAACATAAAGCAAACTTAATATTTTTACTACTTAAATACATTTAATATTTTCTAATATTTTTATATAACAGAAACATAAGGCAGTAACTAAACAATTTGAACACATTTGTATTAAAAGTTTTTTTCCTGCAATAATAATATCATGAATAGTGATCCACATCCTCAAAACTAAAGATGAATGAAGTCTTTATTTTTTTATAGATTAGGTTTGAGTCTGTTTTCAGTCTGAAAGAAGGAAGTGCTACAGGAAAAGCAGTCTATTAGTGCCACACGGGAATGATGCTCAGAAGCAAGGAATTAAAACTGCTCATTTACTCATCATCATTCTCTGACGAGAAATTGTGTACAAGCCTACAAGCTTCTTTTACTCACCAGGATTCACTTTTAATAAAAACCATCTAGTTTGCCCCATGCATTTATGTATCACTGTCAAAACAGACATAAACAGCATGGGCAGTGGCTGTAAATCATCGAGACAGGCAGAAGTGCATTTGAACACACAACCATGCTCTGTGGCAGGCACTAAATAACAGCAACTCATGGGAATGTGAATGATCCTTGAATCTTACATTTAATTACACTAGCTTGTTATCATTGATTCAAATACAGAATGGAGACTAAGTCTGAGAGCTTAATAGCTAAAACGACAAAAATTTTATTATTATTATTATTGTCTTTTTGAGACAGGGTCTCGCTGTGCAGTTCAGGCTGACCTTAAGCTCACTTTGTAACCTAGGTTGGTCCCAAATTCGCAATGATCCCTCTGCCTCAGCCTCCCAAGTGCCTCCCATGAGCCCAGCAAAAAAGTTATTAAAGTAGAAACAAAAATACATAGTTTTCCAGAAGCTGTGTCACAGAAAGCAAACATGAGGCAGCAGACGCAGCTAGCGAGGCTTACCTGTAGTGGGAGCGAGGCTGACCTGTGCACCCTGGTTTGCCATAGCAAGAGTCAGAAGGTGAGCACGAAGGATCCCGCACCTGACATATGGGGGAGGCCACTTTCAGATGCTCCCACAGGAAGAAATCAGACCTGTTTTGGGCTGACCTTAGGCAAGGCTGCCTGTAGTGACTATGTCCTCAATGAATCTGGCCCTGCCCTGCTAGTCGCCACTTCTACATCAGTGGTATCAGTGCATCCATCTCCCTGGTACTGCTGCACACTGCCTGAGTTGATGGGCACAAAAAAGCTCAAAGGATTTGGAATTAGGCCCTGGGGGAGTACCACAGGTGATAATCAAGGAAAATGGTCACCCAGAGAAACTATTAACTTAGTTGCTATTTTTATAAAGAATTTTGAAAGGAAGGGAAAAGTCTATTTAAAAAGTCGAGTAAACAAAATGAAAAAGTTGGGGGAGGGTAATTGAATGCTTGCAAAATTAACATTGAACACATATGTTAATATAGCCATATTTTCAGTTACATAAGTCTCTCCATTTTGCATGCATGTAAACTATTAATCATCTACTCTTCATAGTAAATGTTTCCTCTTTTTATGGCCTTTGGTTTCATGAACAAGATATCCATCACCTAACCTGGCTTAAAAATACAATGGAATCTTCAAAAACAAAACCCCCACAATTTAATCAATAGGTATTTCTCCACAGAAGAAAATCAAACGCCAACAAGCATGTGAAATCAAAAGTTCACACATAAGATCATTACTTTTTGGGGAAATGCAAATCAAAATCACAATGAGATACTACTGAAACCAAATAGAAACAATAAAGCCAAAGAACAACAAAACACAGGCAAGATATGAAGAAATTGGCATGCTTGTGCACTGTTGGTAGGAATGTAAACTGGTACAGTTACTCTGGAAAACATGGAAGTTCCTTAAAGACAAAACACAGAATTATCACATGACCCAAAATAACTGAAAGCAGGATCTCAAAGAGACATCTGCACTCCTACATTCATAGCAACACCATTCAGAGCAGTTAGGTAGCAAAGCAATCCACATGCCCACCAACAGGCTCATATGTGATGGAGAGATGAGTCTGATGGTTCCCAAGGAGTATTTTTTACTCTTTCCTTGGCAGTTTTCCCAAGTGCCTCATGGTCAGCCCAGAAACATCAGATGTCCCAAAGCCAAGTCAGATGATGTGCTTTGGCTGATGCAAGCTGCAATCACAGTTCCATTCCAGATGACCTCACTCAGGTCCACAAAAAGCCCCTCCCACACTTATGACTACACAGAAAGTCTGACACCGAGCCCGCATGAGCCTGCCCTTTTCTTCTACACAAATGACCTTCCTGTTCCCTTACTGTGTCAGTTCATGCAGTATACCACTTACGTGCTGCTTAAGTCCTAATAAAGTCTCTTCCAGACAGCGTTTTTTGCCTATTCATGATTTCTACCTCAGATAGAACATGTTAAGCTGGGAGACTAACAGTCAGTGACACCAAAAGCCACTTGTGCTGAAAGTGCTAAGGAGCCAGCAGGGCTGGTAACACTGAGGGCAGCTAACAGCAGAGAATGGTGGAGAACAACGGAGTATGCCTGGAAGTCACCTTAGATCACCAGAAGAGTTTCTGTAGGCTGCTAGTATCTTTTGGTTTCAGCTGCCATGACAGTGGTAGAGGGCTGCTGACTCTTTAACAGCTGATAGCCGGGAGCAGTGGCACATGCCTATAATCCCAGCACTTGGGAGGCTGAGGCAGGAGGATCACAGCAAGGCCAGCCTGTGCTACAAAGTGAGTTCAAGATCAGCCTAAACTTGAAACTCTGCCTCAAAAAGTGGACCACCCCCTCCCCCAAAAGAGAGAGAGGAGCTGATAGCTGCTGGCTTTGACATTCAAGACTATTACCACTTTGTCTATCAGAACTGAGCAAATGAACCTTCATTCACTTTGTAACAAATGGATAGACAAAATGGTAAATCCATGCTGGAGCCCTATTTAATCTTAAAAAATAAAGTATAGACACAAGTTACAACATGATTGATCCCTGAGGACATTATGCTAAATCAGATCAGCTTGTCCAAAAAGGTTAGAGTACTCTGTTTGACTTGTATGAGGGGCTCAAAGTAGTCAAATCACAGAGACAGAGGTAGAGTGGAATGTGGCAGGAGCTGAGGAAAGGGGATGGAGATAGTATGAATGGGGATCGTTTCAGCTTAGAAGAAGGGCTGTAGAAGTGACGGTGGTGATGGTGCACACACTGTGAATGTGTATAATGCCTCTTGAACTGTGCCTCTAAATGTGGCTAAGAGGGTAAACTCTAGGTAATGTGTGTTTTACAGCAGTGAGCGGGGGCAACTACCTTGTGTGCTTTGAGTTTTCTAGGGGGTATGAAGGGCAGAGAAAAATGAGGAAGAGGTGGTAATGAAGGGGATCTCCTATAACTTGAGAAGTTTAAAACACAAGGAACAGACTTTCAAGAACCATAGGGTATCTATAAATTTAAATGTGTCTCCCTTGTAAAAGCAACAATCTAACCCTCCATACCCAAGATAAGCTATCCACTCCATAACCTGTTAATCCCTTTTTTTTCCCTCAGGAAACTGCCCAACAGCAACTGCTGTGGAAAAACCAGGACCAAATCGGATAGAAGACACATAGGCACTGAGGAATTAGAAGACAACTCTTACACTAGCGGGCTAGGGATCCAAATAGCCTGCCCCAATCCTGGGGTTGGACAGACACCTATATATGTTCTAAGCAGGGAGTACAAAAGGTTGATAGCAAGTTATTTTATAATTGGTTACATTAAGTTGACTGTTACATAGATTGTTAGGCAGATTTATTTTGGGCAAGTTTAGCTGGGGGTTCCTTAATATCAAGGGTTTGGGTAAGCAAAAAGAATCAGTCATGGTCACAGACTGAGCCAGTCTATCCTTGAAGCAAGTTAGCACAACATGATGTACTTTCCATACTTTACGTCTGTCTTGTAAGTTGCAGCTGGTATGGGGGATATCAAGGCTTTCTGAGTTTTGCCATTATCTAATTATGAGAACAGGCTGAGCCTGTCCTGTCCTTGAGTATGGTGTCTGGCTGTAAGTTTTAAAATTCCCTTTACACAACCAAAAACAGGCGCACAACTTTCCTGAGTTAATTTCTAAGCAAGAACAAGAAAAGTACGGAAAAAAATCAACAACACATTCTAAATAGAAAAAGACCTACAGCAAAGTGCTGTTCTCACAGTTTAATTCCAGAAGTTGGAGTGCTGTCATTTCCCAAAATTACAATTCTTATTGTAATTTCTCATTGACCTACTAGAAAATACATCTTCTTAGATGACATCTTCTGGGCAAACT